GAAAAAAGAAAGGAACGCAAAAACTTCACCATGAGTGCAATTAGATTCGCATCTTTTAATTGCAGAGGGTTAGGTGATTTCAAGAAAAGAAAGGATGTTTTCCAATATCTAAGAAACCAGGACTTTCATATTTGCTTCCTACAGGATATCCACTGCAAAAAGATAGGGGTGCCTTATTTTAGGAACGCTTGGGGATCATCAGTCATAGTAGCACCATACACGCACAATGCAAGAGGAGTCGCAATACTTACGAAAAACTTAGACGTAGAATTCGGAGAGACAATGATTGATGAAGGAGGAAACTTCATCATTACAAAGGCAAAAATCCAGAAAGAATTCGAATTATGTCTGGTAGCAATTTACGGCCCGAATACAGACGAGCCCAATTTCTTCGAACTTTTGAGCGAGAGCATTAATGCAACCATAGAGGACGCAGATACACCAGTCGTTATCGGGGGTGATTTTAATGTAACTCTAAATCAACAGTTAGATAATTTTAACTATAGAAGAGAAAACAACACTCGAGCTAGAGAAGCAGTAAAAGCAATGATGGTACAAAATGAATTGATAGACATATACAGAGAAAAAAATCCTGAAAACCGAAGATATACTTGGCGGGTTGGAAACCCAATAGTAAAGCAGGCGAGACTGGATATGTTTCTTACTAGTGCTGCTCTGGAAAGTTATGTTGAAGAGGCGGACATTCAACCAGGTTATAGATCGGATCACTCCATTATTACATTGACGGTGGACTTCTCAAAGCAGCCGAGGGGAAGAGGACTCTTTAAATTCAATGCATCATTGTTAAGAGACAAAAATTACGTCAAAATGATAAAAGATACGATTAAGAGTACGGTAGTAGAATACGCTCTTCCCGTATACGCACATGACTACATTTTGGAGACCTCAACAAAGATAGAAATGACAATTGATTCATCTTTGTTTTTTGAAACTCTGATGCTGACGTTAAGAAGAGAAACAGTCTCTTTCGGCATTAGGAAGAGAAGGGAGGAACGAAGGCGAGAAAACCAATTGGAAAGAGATATACTTCTTTTAGAGAAAGAGCTTGACGCTTTAGGTACTCACTCATTGTACGATCAGATACAAAACAAGAAAAAAGAATTGGAAGACGTAAGGAGGATCAAGTTGGAAGGGAGTTTGGTTAGGGCGAGAGCTGTATGGAGGGAAAATGCGGAAAAACCAACAAAGTATTTTCTTACATTAGAAAAAAGGAGGTACGAAAGTAAGAGGATACCATGCATCAGATCGTCAGCAGGCTGCACAAGGAATCAAATAGAATTTCTTGATCTATTCCGTAGATTTTATCAAAAAAGGTTCAAAAGTGAGGATGAGTTTTTAGAGGGAGTTAATTACGATGAATATCTATCAAACATGGATATTAAAAAAGTAAATGACCATGACAAGCTCAATCTAGATAAGCCGTTGAACATGCAAGAATTAGGATCAACGCTACAGAGAATGAAAAATGGAACGTCTCCAGGTAGTGACGGTTTTTCCGTAGAGTTTTATAAATTCTTCTGGGCAGACATAAAACACTTTTTTCATGCTATGGTAGTTGAGAGTGCCACAAAGGGTACAGTTCCTCTAACTTTAAAAGAAGGAATAATCGTGTTGTTACCTAAGCCAAATAGACCCAGAGATTTGATCAAGTCATACAGACCAATAACACTCCTAAATACTAGCTACAAAATCATTTCAGGTGCTATTGCAAATCGATTAAAACTCGTGCTAGGAGACATAATCGAGGATTGCCAGTCTGCCTATTTAAAAGGGAGATTTATTGGGGACAATATCAGGATGATTTACGACGTTATCCAACTCTTGAATCAAGAACAAAAGAACGGGGTCTTAGTAAGTCTGGATATAGAAGCAGCTTTTGATTCAGTCAGTTGGACTTTCATTAAAAAAGTCCTGGAGCAGAAAAACTTTCCGCATAGTATTACACATTGGTTCAACACACTGTATGCTGGAGCCTTTTCCAGAATTTTGTATAATGGTCATTTGTCGAGTAAAATAATGCTAACAAGGTCTTGTAGACAGGGGGATGCGCTAAGTTGTTACTTGTTTATTCTTGTGATGGACGTTTTAGCGAAAAAGATTCGAGGAAATGCAGCTATCAAAGGAATTAAAATAGACAATGAAGAACACAAAGTGCTCATGTATGCAGACGATACGATTTGTTTACTCGAACCAGAGAAAACAAGCATGATGGAACTCTTCCAAGAGATAGGATGGTTCGCGAAGTATTCGGGACTAAGTCCAAACCTCGATAAGACTCAAGCTATGTGGATAGGGAAGGCATGCAGAGAAAATCGTTTTCTTCAGAGAAATTTAGCTGTTAAGTGGAGTGAAACGATTAAAGTCCTAGGGGTCACTTTCGATAATGAACTGCAAAAAGTAACAGAACTGTACACAGAGAAGGTAAAGGAAATCAAAAGAGAAATAACGAAATGGAAGTTCAGAAACGTATCACTGGAAGGAAAAGTGGTAATAATAAAATCGATGCTGATCTCCAAGATTAGTCACCTGCTCACAACGCTCCCTGACCCATCAAAAAAAATTATCAAAGATCTTAACAAGACTCTTTTCAGCTTTCTGTGGCATGGAAAAGGAGAAAAAATCAAACGGGAGTCTTTGATGAAAAACCATCTCAATGGAGGAGTGGACATGGTTGATTTAACAAGTTATATGAGAGCCTTGAAGCTATCTTGGATTAGGAGGTGCATTGTAAAGCAAGGAATATGGAACGCAGTTGCACAGAAAAGTACTGGTAAAAATATATATTTCTGGCAAATGGGTCAAACAGCTTTGAAAAGAAAGGCATCTCGTACTAAGAATCTATTCTGGAGAGACGTGATGATAGCATTAGCAAATTTCAGGGAAATATGCTCACAGAAGCTAGGTGTCGAGGAGCTAAACTCCACAGCTATCTTTTTTTTCTGATACTACTAAGTTCAAAACTTCATGGATTGAAGAATGGTATGTCAAAGGCATCAGATCGTTGAATGACTTATTAAAAACAGATGGATCTTTACTAGGTTTTGAGGAATTAAAACGGACTTACAACATTACAACCACTTTTCTGGATTATGCAACACTAATAAGTAGCTTACCTAGAGAATGGAAGGAATCGGGAGAAAAGGTGAAGTTATTTGGACCAAGTATAGATCCATTAATAAGCTTGATTATTTCTAGAAACACGGGTACATCACATTTAAAAAATGTCTTCAGACAGGAAAGAGTGAGAGATGTCAGAAACATATGGGAAATGTCCTGGGAGAGAAGGCTGGGTCAAATCGATTGGCAGCAAATATACAGAAGTCTCAGGGGCACTCCACAGCAGTATAGAGCAGTTAGGTATAAAATTATTACAAGAACAGTAGGAACAAACAGCTTTCTCAACAAAATTGGATTAATGGGAACCGATTCATGCAGTTATTGTACGGAGCGTGAAAATATAGAACATAAATTCTGGTATTGTTCGAGGATTAAGGCTTTCTGGGACAATGTTGAAGCGTGGTTGACCAGAATTCAGATAAACACACCAGAAAGGATAACCAGGGTGAAGGAGGTAATTCTAGGCGGCACAGAAAATGCGATTATAAACCATATTGTTAGTGTAGGCGTGTACATGATTTACTCTGGGAGGAGACTTTCGGTAGACACACTTATAACCATACTTACGATAGATCAGACAAGTGAGATGTATTGGGCAAAGGTGAACAATAAAATGAACTCTTTTAATGCTAAGTGGTCGACAAGAATAGGTCAGAGAAGGGGCGAAACCAACTGGCTCCTTGGCTCGCCTCGGCCCACAGAGCATACCGCAAATATATGATAGTGTGTGTGTGTGTGGTTCACGGTGATTGTATAAGAAATGTATGGAAAAAACTGCAAAAAATCAGCCACCGCTCCCATGACCCATCCGGGCCAACCCGGGACCGGCCTCTTTGACTAGGGCCGGTCGGCCGGCCGGGCGTGCGGGGCGCCGGCCCTACAAGTCGACGGCTCGCATGCCCGGCCGGTGGATAGGGGGCGCCGCCCGCGATACCCCTTCGCCGGGCGGCGCGGGCGGTGGCTGATGGCCCGCCTGGAGCGCCGGGGAGGTAACCCACAGCTCTCCCCGGCTGGGGAGGTATCCCCCAGATCTCCCCGGGGCCGGGGCGTTTTCTTTAGTCCATGATGGGACAACGCCCCGGCTTGGCCAGGCGGGCCACACCACGTCGCGTGGTGGTGGCGACTGGCGGCGAGCTATAGGTATTTTTATAGCTCGGCCGCCGCCCAGTCAAAATGCAGCTGAAATGTGGCTTCTGTTTTTGTGTATATTGTCAACACTGTATGTATATGCCAGCGTGTACGCTTGCCAAATATTACTCGCACGTTGTGGGGGTTTTGAAAGCCCTATTGTGTCGGTGCATATCAGGCGTTTGCGAGTTTAAACGCCTCAATCTGGGGCGCTCGTTTAGCATAGACGGAAAACCGGCGTCAGAAACCATGACAGAGATTGTCCTTGTTGGGCTGGAGAGCCTTCGATTATTATAGATGTACTTGTGTCATATTTGTACGATTTGTCAATAAACGTGAAAAAAAAACATATCTACTAGGCAACTGACGCCCTGTCGCTGATTCTCGACAAAACGCGTTTTCCTCGGTGTTATAGCGCATTCCCTAGAAGACCCGTGAACGGTGAAACATGTCATCTTTGACCTGACCTGTGACGTCATCGGTGACCCCGAGGTCAATGAAATTTGGCTTCCTTCGACAAATTTGACAGGGCTTTCGAACGCCGTTTGAATTTTGCGGATCCGTCCAGTAGTTTCGGAGATACGAGGGGGGCAAAAAATACCCCCCCCCCACCAGGTCGCGTTATAAACAGACCCCACCAGGGCGCGAGTTAACTTGACCTGGTGACTTGACCTGACATGACCTGGGGTAAAAAAAATTCACACATTGTCCAAAATTGATGTACAGAAAGATACTCCAAGCGGCGCGGCGCTACGCGCCGCGGTTTTTTATTCACACGCAAAAAACGCGACAGGGTGGTAACATATGCTCCCCCACTGGGGCGAAGGTCAAGCATGTTTCAAATAATTATATTAATTATAATAATTTAATTATAATTAATTAATTATAATAATAAGGGCTACGAACAGAGTATATAATAAATAATAAATAATTAATTATAATAATAATACTAATAATTCTACTTTTTCATTGTTCACTGCTTAATCATCAACATCATAAAATCTTAAAACATAACATTGAATGGCATTGTGTTTTGTTAATTTACTTTCCCATTACAAATTGTTGCTTCAGTGTTTTATGACAGCAGGAGCATCCCGACTGTCCTGTTGGTGCTTCAGTTGGCTTCTGCGGGACTGACGACATCACCGACCGCCTGCGGCTGACAGCTGGGCACGTGCTGCACATAGTCGCACATGCTGGTCTGCGGGTTGAACACCAGGCTGGTGTAGCACGACATGTGGACGGCCAGCCACGAGTTACAGCTGTAGTAGTATTCGCAGCTCTCCGGGTCCATGTACAGACCGTACTCGGTCGGACAGAAAAAGTCGAACGCCGGCCCCTCAGGACCAGGGTCGTCGGTCGGAGACGCTCTTGCCACTGGCGCTGCAACAGAAGAGGAAAAAGGCGTATGATTATCTACATAGTGTCCCCGAGAGAAGCACGGGAATATGGGATGATTTGCTAATCGATCGTAGCTGATTGATTAAGTGATTTATTGCTTTTACGTTGGGTACGCTTTTACATTTATTTGCTGTTACCCAGTCATGGGTGGAGAATGTTTGAAAGTTACCCCGGCCGGCGACCATCCTCAAATTCTTGCCAACGGTCATTAACCCGCGCCCCGTAGGGCTACCGGCGGACCCTACCACCCGTAGGGGGGGGGGCCGTTTCGGCCCCCCCTAAGATCTCGGAAAGTTACCGGCCGATTTTCAAAATTCAAACGGCGTTCGATAGCCCCACCCGGGAACTACCTTGTGACCGAATTTCATTGACCTAGGTCAAACCGATGACGTCACAGGTCAGGTCAAAGGTCAGATTTTCACCGTTCACAGGCATTTCAAGAAATGTGTTGTGAAATCGAGTAAATTGGTAATTTATTGAAAACCATCGATGGTACATTGTTCGTCAAACACATACTTTGCTATCTGAGGTCACTGATACCAGGTCAGGTCACAGCGAGGTCAGGTCACCGGGGGTTACATTATGAAAGTGTCGTGTGATACATGTTTTATGGTCTATTTTACATGACAAATGCGATTATGTGGGTTAGGTAGCCTTTGGGGCCAGCCTAGGTCACGTTTTGGTGAAGGTCAGGTCAAGGTCAGGTCAAATTAGGTCAAATTTCAAAGTTGATATTTTTGCATAAAATGGGTATCGATTCGATGCAGCTCGTCACGGGGAGTCCAATGGTGGTCTTTGTTTTGCTCTACGAGGTCTAGAATTGCCAAAAATTGAGTTTGAAAATTTGACGTCATCATTTTTGAACAGTTTTTTTCGCTATAACTTGGCCAAAAAACGAGGTATCGATCTGAAATTTGGTATGTAGATAGAAGACGGTAGGTACTATCACATATATTCCGGTTTTTTCGAAAATCAAAAAACGTTTTGGATTTTTCGGCTTATATATCCAAAAAAATGCATTTTTGATTTTTGGGGGTCAAAACTCAAAAATTTCAAAAATCCGAGATAGCAGTTTTGTAGCCCTGTCAATTCTACACCTTTTATGTCTTGATCATTTTTCTGTATCTTCAAAGCTGTAGGCCTGACAGGTCTTCTCGCGAAGGTCTTTTTTCGGTCGAAAATGACAGAACATGACGTCATTCTGACGTCATTTGTGGCCAACCTATCATAGCCTCTGGAAAATTTTTGGTCACAATGTGTAAAATCGATGCCCGGAGGGGTCCTGAAAGTTTGGTGGCGATATCTCCAGCCGTTTAGGAGATATCGACCGAAAAGGACAGGGGGGGGGGGCCGTTTCGGCCCCCCCCCCTACGGGGCGCGGGTTAACAAAAGGTCTGTCGCATGAAATAATGGATGTTAACGTTGTGTGAAGAACGTTGTTTCCGACGTCGTATCATTCATAAAATTTTTGGCACAACTAAAAAGACGATTTTGTTTAAGTGATTTTTACTTCAAATTTGCAATTTCACACTATACCCAAGCCATGTCATATGTCATTACGGGTAAACGTTGTGTTACTTACAGCTTTTTCTGGGTCCTCAAGACAGCTTCAAAAGACGGCAGTTTACCCCGTAAGAGCTTTCCAGAGAAAATTGAACATTCCATTCTAAGCACTAAAGTTGGTTACTGACATTCAGGGACGCAGCCCTTTTCAATGTTGGGCGGCTCAACCTCAGGGGACAAACAGTGAGTCGATCCCTTAGCTTTTTGTCAAGCAGTAGTTTTGAAATAGCGCGCCGAAGGCAAGAAATATATTCGAAACTGACTACTGAGCACAACTTGAGAGCAATCTGGGCACCGGCAACCAAAAAAAAGGTCTTAGGATTGGGGATTATGTTAAGTTGAGTAAATAAATACCTACCCGATTCGCAATATTACGCCACATGGCATTCAGCATCCGAAGAACCGAGATGCTCTGTTCGTAGCCCTTACCCATGCACAGTGGCGAGGGACGTTTTACGCCCCTCCCCCTAAAGTTTGTGATACGTGTTATGCTGCATTGTATCTTTTCTGCACATGTTGTTAAGATCCCGACTCAGAGCTCAGAGAGGTCAGGCCACTAAGTCAAGTCAAGTGACCTCGTCTCAAGCTTCACAATGGTGTGTGTGTGGGGGGGGGGGGGATTAAGCCTTATTTCCAGAACGTAAAACTTTTTACGTGTATAGGTAAACCGCGCGAATTTTGGCCCCAGGTCATATAGGGTCAGGTTATCAGGTCAAATTTGAATTTGCTAAATAATCATGCTTATTGCGATCATGTCATTTGCAAAACTTTCTTTCTAAAATTTTGCAAGTTTCGTGATCCAGCCTGAAAAGAGCTACCTAGGGTAGGGTGGGGTAATTTGAACATGTGGGGCAATTTGAACATAGTGTGAATAACTCAAAATTACGGAAACTCCATAAGTGGCATGACAATAAGACCAATGAGAGAAATTATCGTAACTAAAAGGGCTATCATATGAACGGGGTTTAAAGTTTCAGGGAATGAAGATGTTCACGCACAGTGTAAAAAATCAATTTCGCAAGGAAAAACGCCTAACAACACGTCATTGCAACTTCATTGCAGCGCAAAATATTGCATTGCTAGCGCCTAATACGCAACGGCTTTTGTTGTATAATGACCTAATCAGTGCCTTCAATCCAAGAAATTTGCTTTTGAACCCTGTTTTTTAAAATGGCAAAATAACTTTTGGCGTGGGGTAATTTGAACATAGTGTGAGAATTTCAATGAAGACAGGGATATCTCCGAAAAAAAACAACGCTCCCAGTTTTTTTTGCCAATATTTTCGAACCAAAGCAGTAGCAGATAAGTGATGCCAGTTTAAGAAAATTTACGTCTAGTATCCGTCTAGTGTCCGGCATTTTCGTTGATTTTCCGTCCAAAAATGTTAAAGTCAACTATATGTCCAAATATGTCCGAATATTATGCAGCTATCAACACTCAAAACCGTCATTTATATCGCTTATCATGTAATTTTACCAGCCGAAAAGTGTTCATTATATTGAGAGCTTAACAAGCTTTCCATTCGCCAATCAATGCTATGCACCATTACTTTATAAAAAGCGCTGAAGTGTAGCAAGCCATCGTCCAATGTTGTCCAGTCTGCTACCTTTGTCCAACCAATTCCGAATTGGACATTGGACAAAATCAGAACTCCAAATGTCCAGGTTTCGATTGGCACCACTTTAACAGATGTAGTAAGGTTGGGAGAGTTTTTATCGAACAAAAATGATAGACGTTCTGTTAATTGAAGAGGGGCGAATTCTGTTAACTGACCGGTGTGCAGCGTGCAGATATTAATACTCTGCAACTGTTATTTTTGCTGTTGTGTTGATTATTCAAGTGAAGGTATGTCTAGAATTGTTCTGCCTATTTGTTTATGGGTCACACAACATCGGTGCTGGCGAGACTATCGTTTTTATGACAGGTAAAGGCAGTGTGTTCAAATTACCCCACGGTGGGGCAATTTGAACACACCGTGACTTGGTGGAGAAGTGAGGCTATGCTATTCAAGGTATGCTCGGCTCGTCCAAAAATGAGGCTTGCATGGTGAAAGCAAGTGACACTTGCGCTACTGAAGCAGTTTTTCTTCATCCAGGGTTGAACTGGAATTTGGTACAACGGGGAAGACGTAAAAATATGTTCAAATTACCCCACACTACCCTATCGAATGTTTTGCTTGCAGTATTTTAGCTCCGTTAGTTCAGAGCTATGAGAGAAGTTGTCAAAGAACGTTAAAATCGGGAAAGTACTAAGTAGACTTTTGATAAAATATGGTGATTTTTCCTTTGAGCTGGTCTACATAAAACATGACTGAATTATCTTATCGCTGCTGACGCTCTTTCAAACGGCGTTGACGCTCTTCACCACCTATAGCACAGTAGCCGAGTTAGAAGGGGCGTAAAACGCCCGCCTCTCGCCCCAACGTGATACGATAGGACCAGGGTTGTGCTTGACTCATGAGTCGAGTCAGAAATTTGACTCAACTCTGACTCAAATGAGTCAGATTTAGTCGAGTCGGATAAAATGTTGAGCTGTTAAGTTGAGTCAGAGTTGAGTCGGACAAAAATATTAAGACGTCGAGTTGAGTCAGAGTTGAGTCAGTAAAATAGCTTTTGACATTGAGTTGAGTCAAACATCCCCCCCGCTTAACAACTTAGCCCTGGCCCTGCTGCTGGATTTTTTCACCCCTCCCCCGCTCAACAACTTTATATGTGAGTCAATTTTGAGTCAACTCAGTTGACTCAACAAAAATTGAGCCAAGTTTGAGTCAACTCATATTTTCATTCAGACGCTTGAGTCATGAGTCGAGTCAAGGGAAAAAATCAGCTCCTTGTTTGAGTCAGAGTTGAGTCAGGGCTTTCTGAAATTAATGATGAGTTGAGTCGGCATTTTTTTTTTTAGTCGAGCACAACCCTGCTCAAAGGGTCCCTAAAAGAGTTCTACAATACTTTTTCTTTTTGCGAATAAAATGGGAAGTGGTCAAAAGGGCCCTTGAAGTCATTTTAATTTTTTCGTGTTATTAAAAAAAAAACTTTTTGTCTAGCCTCCAGGGCTAAATCTTATAAACGCCGTGGAATGGATATGGCAGCACTGGCTGAAGTTCAGCTGCAGAAAACGACTATGAAATGCAAAATGGTTTTCATGCATTTCAGGCCATCGTAATTTGACGGTCTGAAGAATCATTTCGTAGACTCAGATAAACCTTTGTCAGCACTGGTATCACTGTGAATGTTACCAAATGCCGTAAATAGAATAGTACGGCATTTTATAAGATTGAGCCCAGGGGGTCCTAGGACCCCCAGGGCCCCCTTGGATACGCCACTGGGTTTGACGGACGTGGCCACGGTGGAATCTACAGGGTTGATGGCCGCAACACAGCTCAAAAGTACTGTCAGACGCTCGAAAACGTGAGACAATGT